ACATTTATAAAAAATGAAATAAAAGTTGAATAAATGTTATTGGTTTTATTACCATCAGATTTTTTTTAAAGAAGAATTTTTATTTTATTTTTCTAATAAATTATATATCCAAAATAGAATTTTTAAATTATGTAATATATAGACATACATACATACATGTAAAATATATATAATTGGTCCTTCAATTTTATATTCTTAGAAAACAAAATTTAAACATGTGCCTTATATTTCAAATGTTTTAGGTTTTTTAAAGACTCTCTCAAGGATTCATGTATAATATGAATACCTACAATATGTGACAATTTGATACTAAGAGTTTAAAAGTCCAATAAAGAGTTAGAATTATTTATTGTCATTTCTATTTTAAATAAGTAGTGATTTTGTGAATATCGCTAGTATTATAAGAATTGAGAATACAAAGAATATTGGAAATATCAAGAATACTAGAAATACTAGAAATACTAGAAACACCACAAATACCATAAATATTAAAAACACCAAAAAAATATATAACATTAAGAACATGTACAACACTAGTATTGTAACACAATTAATAGATGAAAAAGAAAAGAAAATAATATACTATAGATTTTATTTTATAATATAGTAGAAAATAACATTATATATATAGATGATAGTTCAAGAGGTGGTAGAATTAATAAGTGCCAATGCTACTTTTTTATAAAATGGGTTTTTATTCACTTTGTAGGTCCATAAATAAGACAAAATAAGATAAATTAGAAAAATCAATATCATAGACATATTAAGGTAGAAATAAATAAGTGAAATTAAATATTGATGTCCAAAGAGGACTAATTATGAATCTATATCAGAATCAAACCTTGAAATACAAATCCCATATGATGTTGATTGAAAAGTAAGATTTAAGAGCATACTAGATAATACTTCAAACTATTGATTTCAACTAAACTGAATTTACCAATTGAAAAAAAAAAAATCTCTAAAACTCTTAAATATTGGCTGCCTTCCTTCTTCAATTAAATTATTGATCTTTTAGCAATGATCTCTCTTTAGTTGATGTATTGATAATTAAGTCCAAATTTCTCTTTTTAAATTTTGCTTCAATCAAAATTTGTAAAATACATTAAAAACAAACACAATGACAAACTCAGAAAGTTTTACTTGTAAATATGCTGTAATACTCACACAATCCTTAAATTTTTAAACATCTTTTTATTTCTAAAAATCCAAAACTACTAAGTACATCTTTTAATTTGAAAAGCCCTCAAAAATCTGATACACATTTAAATCATTTGAAACTAATAGCCAAACAATCCTTTTGAAGTCTTCTTTTCTAAATTCATTCTTTGATCAGCAAAAGAATTTCAAATAAGTGCATGGTTTTTTGTCTTGGGATTTGATTTTGACCTTGATTCACAATTGATCTTTTCTATATATCATTCCTTATTATTTTGAGGTAAATTTTATTAAAATCTATTTTGAAATTTTTCCTAAAGATATATGTATGATTCATTTTCTTAATCTACTTTGTTTTGCCTTATTTATGGTCTTATAAAGTGAGTAGAAGTTTTTTTTTATAAAAAAAGAGAATTAACATTAAAAGATTTTACTACCTTTTTATCATTTATCTATGTTTTGTTACTAAATCTTTTTACTAGATTATTCTATAATAAAAGCCATATTTTTATATTTTACTATATATGGTTGTATTACCACACAAAAATAATTAAATTAGAGGTTATTGAAATTTAAGAAGGTTTAAATCTTAGAATTTGGATTTCAGAGGACAAGTGAGGTTTTCTAAGATTTGCAAGAATCTGCCAATAGAATTGATGTAAAATTTAGCATCTTATTAGCAAAATTGCTTTACAAAAAATTTAAAAATTTTGAAAGCAATTAAGTGGTGGAAACAAGAGATATTGGTGTTAGTAGATCAATACTAGGGTTGGAAAAAGAGGCCAATCAACACTCAATTAGATTATGAGGTTTTTTTCCTATTTAATAAGTTTGATTTTTTTCAAATTTATTGTACTTATTTTCAATTAAGAAATTAAGTGATTGGAATTTTGAATTAAGATCAATGATTAAATTATTAATTTTTAATTTTTAAAATTTTTTATAGAAGTTCATAGGATTCGATTAGGATATGACTAAGATTTGATTCAAATGTACTAATGATTATTTAAGGTTTGTTTTTAAATTGATTAGAATGTAATAAAATATATATAGGATTTTTCTAAAGTTTATAAGATATACTTAGGATAATTAGAAGATTACTTAGATTATTTAAGATTACCAAGGGTGTTTCTAAACATCTCATACAATGTTTTGGGTTGTAAATCAAACTTCAAGGTAAGATTAAATCCTTCCATAGAACAATGCCTAGTGTATTCTCAAGTTAGTTTTAGCATAATTTAACATTGAGACTACAAAGAATGCATAGAATACTAATTTTAAATAATACTCACAATTGATTTTATGTAGTACCAATTACAAATTTTAAATAGTGCTAACAACCTCAGTAAATCACAATTTTTTGTGGACATACAAACAAACACTTTTTTATATAAATAGATATATAAACTTACCAATAAATATTTGATGTGTAATTGAAATATCATTATTAATATGTTTTTATTTTTTGATGGATAATTTCAAAATAAACTTCATATTGAAAAAAATCTCTTACAATTTCATTTCATTTATTTAATTTTATAATTACTATGAAATTTTCAAATAAAATTATTGGAATATTATCTATTACATCATACACAATTGTTTTTTTGAATTTTGATATTGAGCTATATTTTTTCAACGTTTACTTGTTTTGAAAACAATGTAGCTCTATACAGTCATTAAACTAAGTCTACAATACTTGTAACAACTTCTATTTTTGTTATAATATATATCAAATTATAGTAAAATATATGAAAATGACTTAAATTTTATTTCAAAATAAAAAAAATTAATTGAAAATTTATTTTAAGTACTGTATTAATTTTAATGTTACATAGAATTAATCAGGTGTTGAGATGATCTTTATCAGAGTTATTTTCATCCAAAAAAAATCTTTCAAAGAACCTTCCTTATGTTCCAAACTTTGCTACATTAAAATGTTCCATAAATAAATACATTGGGTTTTTTTTTGTTTTTATTTTTATTTTTTTCCATTAGGTAACAATATATATATATATATATATATATATATTGAAATTTTTAATATTACATAAATTATTTATTGGTGAAGATCTAAACAATTGTTTCATGATTTCTAATCTCCCGTCTTTAAGAAAATCAAACAGTGTCTTTACCATCTTTACTCGTGAAATCCTCCAATATCCTTTTGCAAATGATTGCATTTTACCGATCAAAGGCTTTTTTTGTGCTACAATAGTTCCATTATTCGCACATGCATTTTCAATGTCAGCATGATATCCAAATACATATCTACACATATAATTTAATGATAAGAAATACATATTATATTTTCGTAGAATAGTCTATTATGCATGTCATGAAAGTTTAGTGATGTTTTTTTCCAAAGCCACAGTTCTTTCTTTCCGTCGAAAGAATAAAAAGGGGCCATTCTATGATCACCTGTTGTTTTAGAACATTCCATAAGGCAGTGTGCTTGTCAAATAGTAGCCAGGTTCCATTACAGTAGTGCTCTTGTAAGCTGCAACACTTCTAATCTTATAAGTAGTGGGTGTCTGTGTTGAGATGGGGAAGATGATAAACAGGGCTGTGGAGGAATGACTGGCCAGGTCTGCCATGCCCACGCTTGCAGTGCAGCCTTGAGCAACGCGCAGCAAGACGAAGCCCAAACCATTCTGAATAGATTCTCTATAATAAGCTGGAAACTCTCATCATGAAACAGTTTTGATGCAAACCTCTTCGATCCCAAGACAACGCTCTCCAATCTCAACCACTCCCAGAGTGTGCAGGATGCAGAATGCACTGGAGCAATAGAATTCTAGATGGTGGTGGCAAAAGAAAGCCTTACACTAGCAATGGCTTTGCAAGTTCAGTCCACACATCCCGCAATCATGTCATTTTTTTATTAATTAATAACAAATAAAAACCACGCAGCTGCGCAATTGCATGGTGACTTCCCGGAGTTCAGCCTCCCAGCATGGTTCGACGTGCTTTTACGAAGTCAGTGTGTATCCATACTTGATTTTTCTGTTGTGGTGCTATTGTGGTGCAGCAGTTGAGAACAGTTGTTGTGATGTACAAAGAACACAGTGAAGGCTTTCGCTTACGAAGGTGCTTCATAGTGCTGTACATGGTGGGTCGCAATTTTCTTCCATTTATTGAAACTTCAGTGGCAGGCATCTGGATCTTGGGCTTGAGCAAATCAGCTTAGAGGATTTGATTCTTTCTGGCTTGTTGCGGTAGTGAGCAGCTTGAACATTATTGTTCAAGCTGAATTGAGTGGGATCTACGAAATGAGTGATAAACGGTGAACTAAGATCAGTCCCTCTAGACTTCATCATGTAATGTCAGAATGACATGTGCGAGCGCAGTCGTGGGAACACCACAACCCATCATGTGGGTGTCGAGCTTCCAATGCATCAGACACATCTTCTACACCTATTGCATCGTAAACTCTTTGAATGCGAACTGTCTAAGCGATATTGCACAGCACCGCTAATAGCAATAAATTCGGTGCATTGCTATAGGCCCCTCTCCCTTTCCCGTACCCTCCAGTACTTTAGAATACTGCCTCAAATTGCACCTCCAAGACGTGGGATTGCTGTGATCCAAAACACTGTCGCACGAAAGGCAAGAAACCCAAAACGACAGCGTAATAATCGCAAGCTTCTATCCTGTATGCAACTACATCGATACCCTCAATGTTGAAAAAAAGTTCTCCAAGCCAATAACCCAGATGCATTGCACAGCCCAACGACACATCCCACCTGCAGAAGAACAAACTACATATTTGTATAGCAGATCTAAAGAGATTCTCTCTTCAAGTGCACAAGCATTCACTTGTCACGGAAAGCAGGCAATGATTAGTACAGTTGGTAAGTGATCATGTCGCTTACAGAGAAAGTTTTTTATACGTAGAAAAAATAATAGAGGTCGATTTTGTAAATTTCTGTGTAGATCCGTAAATCAGATCTGGATATAGGTCTTTGTTATAATAACGCTAGCTACGTTGGAACAAATTGCAAGAGCGCGGAGGCTTCCGTTCAACTAGACGTTGCAAGCCTAGGACGAGGAATAACAACTGCATATTATACAGATCATGAAAGCAGAATTTCCTAACTTGAAATGCGACCTCTACATCTGATATCAGCTTGCTTGACCACACTCATGTATCAGCACTAGAATCTTACATGATTCGACCGTCTTCTCACCGGCCTCAGCGTGGACGGTTTTCCAAAACATATACACCAGAGCTTCGCTCGCCGTACACTACCCCCAAACACAGAAAAATCAACTACTTTTGATACAGAAATCCACGGCCCCCGACAATCTCGAACAAAATGTTTGAAGAGCTTCGTTCCCTCTCTATGAATACAGGAAATATATCCAGAAGTTAACGGTTGTCTCTCTTTCCAGATGCATATGTCCTTGTGTTCCTACACTTGCACAGCCTCCTTCTTCCTGGCATGCACAGCTTCCTCTTTACTGCCTAGTGACAAGGACGCTGCGGATAGTTCTTTTGCTCTCAGCTCGTGGAAAAATCTGTGCTCTGAAACCTGGGCCAAAGCTTTCAAGTTACAACGAACAACTGTGTCCACAAACATGTGAGTCTCCTCCCTGGTGTTACCTTCAGGAATGTCTACAACATAAGACTCCAGAACTAGAGTTCCCATCTGCCCATCAATCTCGTGAGAGTGTAAGGACGTAACAGACCAGTAGTTTTGCAACCTGTGGCCTCCTCCCAAAACCCTGAAACTGATGATGTGTTCCTCATCGTCCAGGATCTCTAGCCTCTCAATACTCGATGTTGCCGGAATACTAGACACTAAGCGCACCTCACGGATGCTACCCACCCCGCCATCGCCTTCAATAATTTCACAAGTCTGGATAAAGCGCTTGTATACTTGCGGCTTGTCAAAGCTTCTAGCCACCGACCACACAGTCTCCACAGGCGCCTTGATCAGCTGCAAGAGGATGGAGCCGCACTGGTGTGGCTGGAGTTCATGTCTGTGGAACCGGCATATCAGATCCTGCTGTCCCTCTAGCAGGGTCTGGAAATCAGCTTGACGTCCTTTCGTCTGCATCGTTACAGATCCACTTACCGAGCACTACGGCGAAGTACCTCTAGTCTGCACAAGCTGGTCGCACCCTAATCCCCCCTGCCCTAACAAAAGCGGTGCAGCCTCTTGGCCCAAGAGCCCACTGCTCCCGGCACTCATGTCCTTGAGGGGAATAAGCACTGTTCACTGCCGAGCAGGTTGGCTCATCTTCCCACAGATGCATGAAAGTAATGCTGCGAGTGCATCGAGAGAAGTGGTGAGCGAGGTAGAAAAAACTTAGATCGGCTTGTGCAGCGAGTCAAGCCTGGCATAACATCGTCAATCTCAGATTAAACTATGTGTCACAAGGAGAAAGTGGCGATAAGGTTGAAGAAAAAACGCAGGAGACGTTGACAGGCTTAGAGTGAGCTGAGGCATCTTTACATGGACTGAGCTAAACTAAGGAGAGTGATAGCGCACCTTAGATATGGAGAGGGGAGAGGAGAGGGTAAGAGCACTCAGGCTCTAGGATACAGGGTAATCTTTATGGTTGACATCGCCGTCGACTTCCTCCACACCACGTCGCTTCCAACCGGCCTTTCTGAACCTACAAAATCATCCAGGCTCCCAGACTCTGTGTGCAATATGACCAGCCGTGACACATTCTCCTTGGTCGTCACTTCCGTATCTCGTTCATTATCCACATGATTCGTGACCAGCTAGATTCGTAAATCTAAAAGCTGGAACCTCCCCCTCCGCCTCGATGACGACGTCCGAGTACAACTATAAAACACGTCCATGTACACTCCACCAGAGAATCTACACATCCTTGTCCATTGCTGCCAATTCTTTTTTTTTTTTCACTCTAGTAAATCCCTTTCTGCCCACTGGGGAACCTTCTGTCCTTCACCCATCACAATTTACCACCCCACCCTCAAGCATTTATTCGCACTGTTCCCTAGTGTGACTGTGCTCATAACATTATTGCGTTCGCCATCAAAGTGATATATTTTGTCGCACTCTCCACGCTCGGCCGTCCGAAAGTGTACACGAGGTAACATTTCATGACGAAAATTCTGTACAGATGAAAACGTGCTTGTATGTAAAACTGAAACGAACTTCGTTCATTGCGGGTGCGCGTCTCATCACATGGTAACCCACTTATGTAACCTCCTCAGATGGACGACTCATTAAGAAGCGGGGTAATCGATCGTGGTCAACGGGCAGCTTGGTGCCTCGGCAGCCAACATGCAATAACCTTAAAACTATAAATGACCCCGTTTTGAATTGGTAAGTGTTGAAGGCGGTTTGGGAATTGGAAGTGGAGAGAGTCAAGCCCGGCAGCAAGGGCTTTGCGTGGCCACATGTTTTTCAAATTACTGCCTCAGGTAAATTAGATCAGACGTGGTAAGTCGAACATTTGGCATCAGCAGCGAAGGGAAAGGATAGAAAATGCAGCCGAAAAGAACAGAAGGAGGTTGCCAAGCTGGCGACGCTTTATGATTTCCTTTCATTAGCCGACCGAAGAATTAGGAAATGCAACCAATGCCAGGGAGGGTTCAGCTTGTTTGCTGCCCACAACTTGGAAGATTCCATTCGCAGCCTGAAAACTAGGCACCTTTGGCTTTTAAAAGGGATATGCTACGCTAGAAATAATGAGTTGTTATACAAAGAGTGGTTATGGTGTGATCTAGTGTGGTGGCCCTGCCCCTGCTTCCCGTTCAAGCTCGGACCACTTCATTGACATGTTCAAAGGCCCCTTCCACTTGGTGCTGCTGCTCCTGCTGCTGCAGTTTCACTGCGGTGCGGGATTTCCCTCCACACCAACCCCAGCATCGTGAAAGCGGGAGGGGGGCTTCCTTGACGCTCTTTCCAGCACTGCAATCCAAACCATCCACAGCCCAGCATCACTCCGAGCGGACTCCAATAGCATATCATGGCCAGGAGGAGGAGGCATGGGGTCGACAACAGGAGGAAGAGGAGGATCCTCCCCTTCCCCTCCTTTTTCTCCTTTTTCTCTCTGTGGACTGACTTCATTCCCAATATATCTCAACCCAGTGAGCGGCGAGAGATCAATGCACCCAATGGCAAGCCCCGCCCACGTTCCCGCCATGCCATGCAATACAATGCAATGCCATAACCCCACCCCACATCTCTCCCTCCCCTCCCTCCTGACCCTGCCCTGCCAGGAACGCCGTTGCCCGCAACTGGTCACGTCCCTTGTATTCATCCCCCTCTCCCTCTTCTCCCTCCTGGCGTACACCACCGGGAGGGAGGAGTAGAGTAGAGTAGATATCGTAGATTGGGTTGACATCCACCGCAAACCCATAGTGATTGTTCGGGATTGAGGGCCCATTCCCAAAGCCCCGCTGCAACGGGAGAGCAAGGCCTCCGACGGACGGACGGACTGACTGACGAAAGAACGAACGAAAGAACGGACGACTGGAGGGATGGCCGGGTCAAGGGTCAAGGGTCAAGGGTGGAGGGGCAACTGTAGCCAGGGCGGGCAGGCAGGGTAGGGCCGCTAGTGTGTCTCACACCCCAGCCTTTCATTTTCCGCCAATGCCCACCACAAACTGAGCCCCAGATGTCTGCCCCCCGCCCTGTTGCGTGCCCTGGCCCTGCTGCTGCCCCTATCTTTGCGTCCTCCCATCCTCCTCCTCCCGTCTTCCCCTTAGTCCCCCTTCTTCTTCATCTGCTACTTCATGGATAGCAATGATGCTGATGCTGCACAGGACAGGCATACAAGCAGACATCTGTCTCTAGTGTCCCTCCCTTGCTTGCTTCTTGTACTCCCTCCTTCCCTTCCCTTCCCCGGGTTTTCCCCAAAAGTTTGGGGAAGCCCCCCCCCCCCCCCCCAACATCATCCACCCTTTCCCTCACCTCACCATCATGCACACTGGAAAAAAGTATTTCATAATCCCCATTTAATTATTGTGCACACTCATTGCTTGCTCTCTAATGCACCACTTGAATCTCTTACAAAAATACATAATACATAATCCCTTTTATGTTCTTGTTGAATAACATATTACATAATGTCTTAATGCACATTCTAGTTTGTAATAAAAATAAGAAAATGGTAATTCAAATTGATATAGAATTGAATGGAAAAATTTAAAATAAATAATATGCTGTGTCATTTTCATTATCATTGCCACTACTCTTATTATCATTATTATGAGTTCTAAATTCGACTTTCTCTCTCTCTCTCTCTCTCTCTCTTTTTACTTTTTGCAAATATGATGTACTTTCTTGATGTGCATGTGGGATTTGAAGTTCAAATTGAGATTTTGTCGCTACTTTTGGCTTGTGTCACCTGTAAACTTGAGTGACATGTCATATCAAAACATGATTAAGAACAGAAGGTAAAAACAAAGCATACAAGCTTGTGTATATGAACAAGGTAATAGGGTATCCTTATTTCAGCATAAACAACTCATATTTATATTGCCTTTCAAGTTTTCATGGACGCATCACCAACTTTAAACAAGTCTTATTTTTATTTTATTACAGATACTACTCTTTATATAAATCCATCTCAAGTTTTTATATTTTTTAATATGTTTTGGAAGATATATAAAGTTACATTAAACTACAGTTTTTACAAAAACAAATTAAAATGTAGAATTATTTTGAGATAGACAATGCTCACAAATGAGTCTAAAGTTCCACATCTAATCTGACCTAGTTCAAAGTAAGTTAAGAAACTATTTTAGATTGTTTTTCTTAATAAAACATCGTTTTATTTTATTTACTTTAACCTATACAAATACAATATTAGGTAAATTTATGTCAAGTATTTACTGTTTTCCAACATAAACTTAAAATCATATGTAACATATGTAAGATGTTTTTAACAATTTAATGAATTTGTAAGTGTGTTTACAAATATTTAAATCAATGTAAAATTGATATAATAATTTTAAAAAATTATAGATTAAATTTAATATCATATAAAATATCGTAAAATGATATAATATATATAATATATAGAAGTTGGTATGAGAATTACAATTATTTGCATACGTCTGTTAATCAAACACAATATTTTTAGTTATCAATATAAACCAATATTAAATGAATGTAGAAATGAGAAAATTCAAATTATATTTTGTTTCTATGTATATATAATTTTAAACATCTATTTTATAAAATAATTTAACATATAAATAAATAAACCAAAGCTTCTTGCATCTTTACACCATACATGCAGATGATCATATTACCAGGCTCACGCCTTTTGGCAACAAAAGCATATCTAATTATAAAGGATATAATCCAAATATTACTATAAAAAGTAAAGTAATTTTTAATAAATTCAAATCTCAATAATCTATGTTGTTTTTTTAGAGATGACAATCAGATATCACAAATATCCAAAAGTATTGTATATCCAATGATCACTTTAAAGAAAGTGATCACTGCTGCAAAATCAATTAATGTGAAGGTATCTTAAACCTCAATCTTTTTTTAAAAAATATTTTCAAATAAATTAATTTAATTTAAAATTAAAATTTTGAAACTGTGATTTAAAAAAATACAAACATATAGTTATTTTTCGTTCTTTAGATATTAAATTATCAGCATTCTATGAGAAATGCAAAACAATCCTTCTTTAGAAGTGTAGATAGCAGGTAATTAAAAAATTATACAACAAGTTAAATTTTTTTAAGTAGGTATGTATAAAAGCAAGAATAATAAGGTTTCTGATGTTATTGATTTAATTTTTGGTATCACCTATAATATGGTTTTGATGCATATCAATATATATATATATATATATATATATACACATACATATTTAATTATTAATTGATTATTTAAATATATTCTATCATCAAAAAAATTAATTTTAACTGTTTTTATTAATCATAAGAATTTAATAACCTTCTCCTTTATTTGTTTTTCTAATTACAAAATTATAATGAATCAAAATATTTTTCAAGTATTTTTTAATAGATTTCTATATATGATAAAAAAAGTTAAATATATATATATATATGAATTTATAAATATTATATATATATATATATATGAATTTATAAATATTATATATATATATATATATGAATTTATAAATATTATATATATATATATATATATATGAATTTATAAATATTATATATATATATATATATATATATATGAGAATTTATAAATATTATATATATATATATATATATATATTATACTTATAAAAATTATCATTATTGTTTTAAAAAGCCTAAGTACATGCTATAAAGTGGAAACAAAAGACTATTTAAAGATGTTTTTAAAGATGATGAGATTTTGTTCAAAATAATATATAAACTAATTTTTTTTAATTATGTTTTAAAATATATAAGCTTTGGATTCATAAAACTAAGAATAACTTTACCAATTTTTTTAGAATAAATTTATTTTATATTTTTTACTTAATAAAGTAATAGAATTTATGTAACTATTAAAATTTTATTACATATGTATATGTCTACACTAGTAGAAATTTGTGCAATAGATCACAAAAAAATTGTAGTTTTTAAGTAAAAAATTGACCACTTTGAAAGAAAATATTGATTAAGAAAAAATTATATATATATATATATATATATATACATGCATACATACATATTTAATAGAACCATTTGCGTTTATATAATGTATTTAGAAAAAGTAG